GTTCTTTGTAGTGATGGGGGTTTATCATAAGGATATTTGAAAACGTGAGGGAGACAAGGATGGCAGTGTGGTTGCTAATTAATCTTTGTCTCATTTCTTTTTTCTATCCTACCACTATGCTAAGGTTTTTATATACTGGGTGGGGCAAGAGTAGGTTTACAGTTGTGAGTATGGAAAATAATACAATAATTAATAAATAATAATACAAGAATAAACTCTGCTTCACATACTCACAACTATAAATCTACTTTTGCCCTACACAGTCTATGAGGTTGTCTAAAATTAATTTCTTCAAGAGTTATGATAGAGGTAAAATGCCCCAAAAGGAAACTTGGTTGCAGTGTTTTGCTCTGAGGTTGCTCATTTTTTAATGGAGTACCAGACAAGAATACAATTGCTAAAAAAAAAAAAAAAAAAAAAAGTACAAGAAGGGAGTATGAGATCCAAATAACATAATAATATACCTCTAATTAGACAAAACTTGACCTTAATTTAAACAATATTTCTTTTTCTCTTTTTTTTTTTTTTGCTCAAACATACAAAAATTTGGCCTCTGCTTATCTAAATCTATCAATACTCAAGTTTTCATGTTTAGAAAAATTGCTCTGAGATTGTGCAAAAGCTTACACCTTTATCCTCCACAATGCCTTACCTATAACAGGTTTGAAAACATTGTTGAATGGGTTTGGTGATCAGTGTGCCCTGTGTGGTTTTATCTCAGGGAAGGGTGGCAGTGTCTGCTGAACAAAGGAAAGGCTTTAGTTACGCTGACATATGCACCTGCTTTTAAAAGGATGATGAATGTAGATAGTTTCAAAATGTCACATTACTATAAAATTACTCTGGGTTACTAATAATTGGATTTGAACGGAGACCTTATCAGTCATTATTGTTAAAATTTATTCTATCTTCTGCTATTTTAATTTTTCTTTTAAATTGCCCAAGAGGCACTTGTAACCTCAAAATCTGTTACTCATTAACAGCTTGTATGCTGAGATAAGGACATTTCCAAAGTCCCAAATTGCTGACTTTTAAAGGTATTAGTCTCTGATTTTTTTTCTTCAAGTTGGAATGTGGAAGTATAAAGTTGAATAATTTATGTGCTACTCTCCATGTGATAAAGACAAAACTAGGAATATTTTAATAACCTGGAAAAGGTTTATCAAAACACCCCTTTGGTTTAATTCCCTAAACTCTATTTAGAAGATCTCATTGATTCAATTGTCACAAGATAGTATCACTTTCCTCCATGGGTTAATTCTCACTTCAAGTTCCTGGCTATCCTGTGGTTGAGCAGCTTCAAGCATTTTGACCACAACCCACAGTAATACATTTATTTTTACATTTTTGATCTTATGCATACATGCATATGTGCATAGTTTCTTAAAATAAAACTTGAGTGATCTACATGTTTTACACTCTGATATTTTGTTCTTACTCTATCCTAACCTATCTTGTTCTGCTCTATTCATTAAAAAATTGCTAGTTATGGCTTGCTAAAATGACTTCTTAAGTCTGCTATAGATCATTGCTTCTCAAATTTTAATGCTCATGCAGATCTCCTAGGGATCCTGTTAAATACAGACTCTGATTCAGCAGGTCTGAGACCCTGCATTTCTGACAAGGGCTGCGGGTCTGCGGACCACATGTTGGAGAAGTCAGCTTGAAGATATTTGTCTTTGGTTCATGTGGCCCAACCTCTGCTTTACTCAGCTGAGGTAAAGGTCTTAGAATCTATATCTATAAAGAGCCAGGGACCATCACATCTGAAACAACCGAACGGATGACTGAACAGGCTGAGTGGGGTGACCAGGCCGGCAGGGGGGTTAGTGAAGGATGACCAAACAACTGAGCAGTAGGCTGCGTGAGGCTGGCGGGGGGGGGGGGGGGGGGACAGTGAGGGGCAACCAGGTCGGCAGGGGGCACAGTTGGTGGCAACCAGGCCGGTGGTGGGGCAGTGAGGGGCCATCGGGCTGCAGAGGGGGGCAGTTGGGTGCGACCAGGTCAGCAGGGGGGACAGTTGGGGGTGATGAGGCTGGCAGAGGGGGGGCAGTTGGGGCGACCAGGCCAGCAGGGGGGCCAGTTTGTGGTGGTCAGGCAGGCAGGCAGGCGAGCAGTTAGGAGCCAGTGGTCCTGGATTTTAAGAGAGTGCAGGCTGGGGTGAGGGGACCCCCCCCCCCATGCACGAATTTTTTTGCACTGGGCCTCTAGTCTTAATATAAAGCATTGAGAGCAGCACAGCTTCTTTAGGACAGATCCACTTAGTTCAGATCTTGAAGACTACAGCACCCAGCTAATGAATATTTATTTCTTTTACACTTACTGTGTGCAGGCCCAATTCCAGGATAAGATAAAGTCCTTCTTTTTGTATTTTGCATATTATTGGGGTGAGCAATTCAATCTATACTTTGAGGTTGTGGTAAGCACAACGCAGAGAAATGAAGCTAAAAGAAAAACACTGGCGGTGTTGGCATCGCATGATTTAGGTTAGGTGCGCAGGCCACGCATACCTGGGGCAGTGAGGTTTGACAGGACCCAAAGGAAGGGAGAAAACTAAGGGAAGATCTGAAGGAGGGACAGTTCAGGCAGAGAGAGCAAGGACACAGGTCCTGAGGTGGGAATAAAACCAGTGGAGTTGAAGGATTCAGCAGGAAGACAGGTCTGACGAGAGGGGTGTAATGGAGAGAGTAAAAGATCAGGTCAGATCTGATCATACAGGAATTTACAGGCTGAGGTGAGTTTAGATGTTATCTAAGGGTGATGGGAAACACGGGAGAGTTTGAGCAGGGAAATGACATGAGGTTTCAGTTTTAAACCACCACACTATGGTTATGTGGTGCATATACCAGAGAAGGACGGGAGTAGAAATGTGGAGGCGGGTCAGGGCATGACAGCAGTCAATCCTATTGACTGTTGTGTCCATTGACAGGATTGTGCCTGCTTATTTTTTAGGACAGGGGATAAATGAAAATATTTTGCACTGCTGAAGTACTATAAGATTGAAAATATGGAGACATTCATTTACATGAAGAACTTTTGTTGATAATTGACATCTAATAAGGCAGGATGCCCAATTGAACCAAAGTTAAGTCAGTGACAGCATGTAATAGATTGGCCCATCTGTCCATAAACCTGGCTTTCCAGGTGAGCGGTCCAGCATCCTCCTGACCTCCATCCCCCAATGCCCAGATTCCACAGGTAAACATTTCATCTGCCTGGAGTAACCAGCATTCCCGTGCAGCGGGTAGGGAGACTGGAATGTGCATATTGTTTGAAATTAGAAAGTCATGTGATGGTTTAAAGCACATTCCCCTCATCTCTCAATGGTGATGACTTTCTCTCTCGTAGCCCTCCTGCCCAAATTTGACCTTCCTCTTGTATTCCTGATCTTATTTCTTGTATTATAAGAAATCTAAGACATCATCTGTGGTGATGCATCATTATTTATTGTATCCCTGATACATATATATATATATATATATATATATATATATATATATATATATATCACTACTTAAAATACTTAGTAGAAACACCATCAAATATAAGATGGGTCTCACCTTCAGTAATACTTAAATGTAAAAAGAATGTGCTTGTTAGAATTAATGAAATGTTATCACCATTCACTTAGTCAGAAGCGTGGAGGTCACATAGGTTAGTTACCCTCTCTCAACTCCTGCAGTTACCAGGCCCTGGAGTTTCTACATCCAAAACCTCTTAAATTCCTGCTCTATCTCCCACTTCAGAAAACTCTGATCTGTTCTAGCTGGGATAACTTCCATTAGCCACTAAGTGATTCTTCAAAATAAAAGTAGAATGATATCCCAAAATACAACCTGATGATTGTACTATTTGATTAGATTAAAAGCATCTGTTTTGTGTTTTTTTCCCCTCTAGTTTGCTTCAGGGTAAAGTCTAATCTTCTTAGCATAACCTAAACATACTTTGGAAGCTTGCCTCTACACCTTTTCAAGTAGTTTCAAGTACAGAGAAACCAACCAACATATAAAAACTTTATTCTTGCCCTAACTGGTTTGGCTCAGTGGAGGAGCATCGGCCTGGGGACCGGATCCCAGGTTCAATTCCCGCCAAGGACATGTACCTTGGTTGTGGGCACATCACCAGTAGGGGGTGTGCAGGAGGCAGCTGATCGATGTTTCTCTCTATCCCTCTCCCTTCCTCTCTGTAAAAAATCAATAAAAATATATTTAAAAAACAAACACCTTTATTCTCTCCGCCTGTAGTGGACTCTCCTGCTCCTTTTTCTGCCTTGAAAATACCTACTTATTTTTTATGAATCAGCTCAAATGTCACCTCCTTAGTAAACTCCCTTCGATGCGTCTATGCCCACTTGCAAAGGAGCCAGGCACTTATTTCTCTGTAGAGGGTGACTCCCAAGTCCCTACTTTATCCTTCATCATATTTTATAATTGTTTGCATTTCTGGATTGTGAGCACTTCAAGATCAACAACCATATTCTGTCCATTCTCCTGTCCTCACCATGTAGCATTGGTCCTGGCACACAAAAAGGCCCTTAGCAAATGTTTGCCAAACGAGTAAGTAAATAATGTGAAGCTGAAAAGGAACAACCCTTAATAAATAATATGAGATCTAAATGTTATGAAATATCCATCACTCCAACTTTGAAGAGGGAGTCATGGCCAACGGTAAAGCTTGGCCTCTCTTCCTCTCCTCAGCTCCCAGCGTGAAGTCCACTGGTGTGGGCTGGGGTCCAGAGCATCATGGAACCTTGACTTTGGGACCCTCTGTGCCTCCAGTGTTCCCTGGACCCGTGTTTGTGAAACCTGGCAACCCAGGCGACCACAGAACATAGAGTGCCTTTTTGCCAACCACCTCTGTATTCAAGAAAAAGAATCTAGATTCATTATCAGTTGATCCATACAGCTCATCATTAGAAGTTTATTTTGTGAACTATTAATCACCATTTCAAAAAATTATAATTGGTCATTTGCAAAGTTAGTCAACTATAAGGTGAGAAAGTAATAGCCCCTGACAGATTTTTCACCATAACTTTCCTTTAAGGGCAGATCTCAAAAACCAGAAAATTGCCATAAATGAATAAACAAATAAACAAATGAATGAATCTTAATAGTTAAGTATATAATCTGTCCTTTAAATTCTACTAGGGCCCAGAAAAAAAGTTTCCCCGATTTTACATCTTTCTACACCCTAGTACTTCATAGAGTGCCAGTACCTTGTGGGTACTTAATACATGTTGATTGAAAAATGTTGAAAGGAGAAACTTACTTTGAAAAATTTTTTCAATTTTATTTTTGTCTTGGCTTGTTTCTTTCAAACCTGGATAAATAACAGGGGAAAACATACTCATTAGTCTCTAAACCACTAATATCATGACTGGTATCCCTGTTGCCCCATGGTATTTCAATATAAATATCACAATAAATGTACAAAGCAGTGTTCAAAAGGTGGCCGGTCAGAAGGCTATAGGCCTGTATTAAAAGGAGGTTGAGCCAAAGCCGGTTTGGCTCAGCGGATAGAGCGTCGGCCTGCGGACTGAAGGGTCCCAGGTTCGATTCCAGTCAAAGGCATGTACCTGGGTTGCAGGCACTTCCCCAGTGGGGGATGTGCAGGAGGCAGCTGATCGATGTTTCTCTCTCATCGATGTTTCTAACTCTCTATCTCTCTCCCTTCCTCTCTGTAAAAAATCAATAAAATATATTAAAAAAAAAAAGGAGGTTGAGACCCAATTTTCTTTTTCTTATATGGTATTCTAGTTGTATGGTCTACAGAGTTGTGAAAGGATTGAACAATAAGAAAGAAAATAATGGTATTCAAGAAGTCAAGGAAGGGGAAATAGTTGCTATATTGAGAACAAGTATATTTTTTAAAAATCCATGTTTATATGTAATTGCCATTTTGTAAATGAATATCATTAATTTCATATGGTTCAACCTAATAGCAAAGGGAAGAGAAATTGGAGAAAAATTATTTCTAAAACTAAAAGATATGTTCATTACTTGTTAATGCTTTGAAGGACTGAACAAAAATGAAGGCACCCTTCAGTCTCAGAATCAGCCAGAGGCTGTAGCATATTGGTTAAGATGTGAATTGCAAAGTCAGACTTCCTTTAATTGAATCCTGCTTATACAACTTACTGTGTAATCTTGGTCAAGTCATTTAATTTCTTCTGGCTCAGTTTCTTCACCTGTAAAAGTGGAAAATAAGGAGATCAGTCTTTGGGATCAAGCAGCTCTAGGTTATCTTTGAGCAAATTGATTTACTTTTTCTACACATATTTTTTTTATCAGTAAAATGGACAAAAGATTATACCTAATTCATATGGGTATTATGAAAAATAAAATTATTTATGTAAAACCCTCAACAGAGAAGTCATTAAGGGCTTAAAAAGTTGTAGCTATTACTATTAATAAATATTAACTACATTGACTGGAATATTAAAAATATATCTTCTTACAGTTTCCTAAAATTAACCAATTCAAAAAAGAGATTTAAATGTTTACTTTACAAACGTGTCCTTGAATATTCTGTAATAGCCATCGCCTAGTTAATTTTTTAAGAAGTGAATTAGAATTATTTTTAAATCCACACAGGAACTCAGTTTTTATAATTTAAATGTATACTTTAAGTATTCATTTCCAAATGAATATTATATAAAAACATTCAAATATTACTTCATGTAGCATAAAATCATAGTTATAAAGTTCTATGTATCAAAAATATTTAAAAAGTGAAACAAAAATACTGTTGGTGTTTTGGTAAACCAAGGCATATTTTGTTGATCTCTACAGTGAAGGAAAGGCAACAAAAGGTTGACAGAAGCCTAGTAAAGAGGATGCCATATACCTGAAGAGACAGCGCACGCTCCATTCCCCCTTCTTAATTCTCTCTATAGCTCTGACAGCACTGCTGTGTTTCATGGGCTTCAACTCCAAGGAGATATGTTCTTATAAGTGATATAATTTAAAAGGCAAGGAAGAAAGACCTAGAACATCTACTGAAATAGTCCCAGGAAATTTGGGAGACAAGCAGATAGAATATGAACAATAAAAGATCAGCTCAGATTGAGTCTTCAAGTAATTATGAGAGGTGTTTGTTAAAAAAGACACTCCTAGGGATTCATATATTCAAAGAGAAAAAGAATGAATTCAAAGGTAATGTCATGGCGATGCATATGATTGATGAAAAGGATAGCATTAATGGTTATAGGAAAAGTGCTTTTATATAACTTAAAAAAGGTAGAATAAATACACAACCTCAAAATACGTCATTGACCAGGAATGTATTCTCCCCTGAGGCGCAAGAGCTTTAAAGCCACATAAAATATTTCATTGTCTTGTGATTCATAATGCTGGCACATCTTACATCATATTCAATTAAAGAACAGTGCTTGTTTCTCTACATCGGCTTCCCACAGAGAAATGAGGGACATAAAGGCAAGTAGCATTGTCAGAAGTAAAATCTTGGTTGGAATCCCCATACCTCACTTTAAAGTGTCTGCTTCCAATATTACTATGTGCTCATATATTTTTCAGCTGGCAACAGTTTAGTTTGGGTTTAAACAAAGCAGATGGTGCCTGGAGGTCCTTTTTACATGCATTTGCTTTGACTCTGAAAGGAATGAGTCAGTATGGCAGAGTAGTTCAAGTTTAGCATTCGGTTTCACAAAGATCCAGTTCAAACACTTTATTTCAAGTTTCTAAGTCTCACTTTCCTCAATTGTAGAATAAAGAGTTATAATAATGCCCACTGCATTTGGTTGTAAAGAGCCTTAATCACATATAAACCAACCAACACAGAGTCTGGCACATGGTAAAAGCTAAGGTACTATAATTATTTTTTAGCTTTTTATTAGATAATGTTTGAAGAATTATAGGACTTATATGATGGCATTTACTTATTATGATGGGAATTCAAGTCAAGTCCTTCTTGCTTCATGAAGTATCCTTAAGCTATAACAATCTCTTCTGCATTTGACACTAATTGTACACTTGGAGATATCTTTATTATAATTTGCCATGGTATGGTAGAGATTATTGCCTCAAAGCGTGAGATGAAATGATCATAAATGAGACTTCTGGGAAGAGGGACTAATTATATTTTTTCCTACTTCTCCCATTAAATATAATGTAAAATGTGCCCATTACCCATAAAACAAACATAAATAGACTCTGAAATATGGAGAGAAAAAGACAGACCACCTGGGGACATTATGATGGTAAATTCCCTGGGTTTTCTTCTTGCCTTATATATCCTGGAATGGGTGTTGGAAAAGCTGTTAACCTAGAAATACTAATAGGTACATACAAAAACAAGCAAGCAAACAAATAAACAACCCCAGGTTTATCTAACCGAAGGGCCAAGAAAGGGCAGCCTAGCAATATAGAAAACTTTGAGACAATAACCACTCTACTCCAGCCAAACACCACAGTAAAAAACTCTCCTCACCCCCATCCACATCAGGTAAGGCCAAATGGGAGCCTGGACTTCCATCCTCTCCAGGCTGCAGTGAAGATACCAATGTGCCAACAATGGGGTGTCGGAGAAGACCAAGGTGGGAAACTGGAACTTTTACCCCCGTTAGGCAGTGATGAGCTCTCACTGCATACTGCCCAATGACAGTATAAACCATCTGGGAACACCCCTTCCTGGAACTCATGCACATTCCTTCCTACTTCCCATTGTGGTGGTGCCAGGGGAGGCCTTGTGGGAAGATAGGACTTCCACCATTGCCCAGTGGTAATGGTTACAAGGCCATTCTGCCCACCCCTCCTTGCTGTGAACAGAAGTCACAAGGAGAGCAGTACTGAGGCACTCCTACCTCTCCCAGCCAAGGAGATAGCAGTGGAGGCCTAGCAGGAAGCTAGAACTCACACCCACACCCAGCAGTAATAAGAGCCCCCACCCGAGCTGCCAATAAAGACTGAGTCTTGATCCTCTACTTCACCCGGAAATAATAAGGCAGCGTTCCCACTCATCTCTTCCCCTACTGAAGTGGTGTCAGAGGAAGCGAGCTAAACAGAAGGTTTAAATAAGATTCAGAGTGTCATAACATAATACCCATAATGTCCCCATTTCAATGGAAATTCAGTCACTGTACCAAGAACCAGGAAAATCTCAAATTGAATGAAAACAAAATAGGTACCAACTACTAGAAAAACTAGCACCAATTACACATAAGTTTTTATTCCTCCTGAAAATACTTCCTCATTCATTCTATGAAGCTATTATTACTCTGATGCCCAAACTAGACAAAGACAGTTAAAAAAAAACAAATAAAAAACCCCACAAGCCAATATCCTTCATAAATGTAGATGCAAAGATCCTTAACAAATATTACCAAATAAAATTCAGACATCCATATACATCCATATTTACATATATAATACACATATATAAAAATTATACATACTTGGTGTAATATTTGAAAATTAATCAATGTAATTCCCCATTAATATACTAACAATAAAGTCGCATGATTATACCAAGTAATGCACAAAAAACATTTGACAAAATTCAACACATGATAAAAATGTTTAGCTTGACCAGTGTGGCTGAATGGTTGAGCATCAACCCATGAACCAAAGGTCACAGGTTCCATTCCCTGTCAGGACACATTACCAGTTTGTGGCTCAATCCCTAGTATGAGACTTGCAGGAGGTAACCGTTCGATGTTTCTCTCTCATCAATGTTTCTAAATCTCTATCCTTCTTCCTTCCTCTCTCTCTAAAATCAATAAAAAACATTTAAAAAATCTTTACAAAAATAGGAATAGAGAACCTCCCCAATTTGATCAAGATCTTCCATAAAAAACCTACAGGTAACATTATACTCAATGGTGGATGATTATGCTTTTCATTTAAGATCAAGAACAAGAAAAGAATGTCTCGCCCTAACCGGTTTGGCTCAGTGGATAGAGCATCGGCCTGCGAACTGAAAGGTCCCAGGTTCAATTCCGGTCAAGGGGCATGTACCTTGGTTGCAGGCACATCCCCAGTAGGGGGTGTGCAGGAAGCAGCTGATCGATGTTTCTCTCTCATTGATGTTTCTAACTCTCTATCCCCCACCCTTCCTCTCTGTAAAAAATCAATAAAATATATTAAAAAAAAAAAAAGAATGTCTCCTCTTACCACTCTTATTCACCATAGTGCTAAAGTTCTAGCCAGTGCAATAAAGGGCAGAGAAAGGTATATAAACCAAGAGGGAAGAAATAAAAACTGTCCTTATTTACAGTCTGCATAGAAAATCCCAAGAGATCTACAAAAAACCTCCTACAACTAATAAGTGAGTTCATTAAGGCCACAGGATACAAACTGAGCATATTAAAACCAATTACATTTCTATATACTAACAATTACTAGTAATATGTTGACATCAACATTAAAAACACAATACCATTTACAATCACTCCAAACATTAAAATACTTAGGTATAAATATCAAAAAAACAGGATGCCTGTACTGAAAATCACAAAACACTAGTAAAAGAAATAAAAGGAGGTCTAAATAAATGGAGAGATATACCATGTTCATTGATTGGAAGATTCAACATAATGAAGATGTCCATTTTTCCTGATTTGATATATAAATTTAATGCAATTTCTATCAAAATCCCAGCACGATTTTTGTAGCTATAAAAAAGATCATTCTAAAATTTATATGAAAAATCAAAGACAGGAGAAGAGTTAAAACTATTTTGAAAAAGAAGAATGAAGTGGGAGGAATCAATCTACCCAATTTCATGATTTTTATATACTTCACTAGAGGCCCGGTGCATGAAATTCGTGCACGGGGGGGGGGGGATCCCTCAGCCAGGCCTTCGCCTCTTGCAGTCAGGGACTCCTTGAGGGATGTCCGCCGGCTGGCTTAGGCCTGATCCCCAGCAGTTAGACATCCCTTCCGCAGTCCGGGACCCCTCGTTCCTTACTGTGGGAGAGGCTCCCGCCACTGCTGCTGCACTTGCCAGCTGTGAGCCCTGCTTCTGGCTGAGTGGTGCTCCCCCTGTCGGAGTGCACTGACCATCAGGGGGCAGCTCCTGTGTTGAGCATCTGCCCCCTGGTGGTCAGTGTGCATCACAGTGACTAGTCATTCTGGTCGTTCTACCATAATGGTAGCTTCGGCTTTTATTATATAGATTAATCAAAACAGTGTGTTATCAGTGGAGAGATAGACAAATTAAACAGTGGAATATAATAGAGAGCCAGAAAATAGATCTATATAAATATGCCTACCTGATTTTTTGACAAAGTTACAAATGCAATTCAGTGAAATAAAAATTGCCTTTAAAAAAAAGTGCTACTAAAAAGAAAAATAAGGTACTAGAGCAATTGGAGCAAATGCATTAAAAAAGCAACAGAATTTCACCTGGTAGACATGGCTCAGTGGTTGAGCGTTGATCTATGAACCAGGAGGTCACGGTTCAATCCAGTTAGGGCACATGTCAGTCCCCAGGGTGAGGCATGCAAGAGGTGCCAACCAATGATTCTCTCCCATCATTGATATTTCTCTCTCTCTCCCTCTCCCTTCTTCTCTGAAATCAATAAAATATATATTTTTTAAAAAAACCAACAGAATTTCAACCTAAACCTCAGATCTTATCCAAAAATTATCTCAAAATAGATCAACTACATAAATGTAAATTTAAAAATTATAAAATTTCAGAAAAACTCACAGTAAAAAAATCTTTGAAATCTAGAGATAGACAGAGTCCTTAGACTTGACCCAAAAACAAGATTGCCGGGAGCCGGTCCATGCTTGCTGTTTCAAGGGACCTGGCATATATGGCATACTGTTTTTAATATGTTTGCTCACCTTCTTGGCACTATGTGTTTTAACCAAGGTCTCTGAGAAAGATATATGCCAGGTCCCTTGAAACAGCAAGCATGGACCGGCTCCCGGCACAAGATCCATAAAATAATGATTAAAATGAAAAACTTATGCTTTGTGAAAGCTCCTGTTAAAGAGGATGAAGACAGACTAGTGTTTAAGTGCATAAAGAACTCTCAACAGTACAGAACAAAAAAAGCCAATTAGAAAATGAACAAAAGGCCTAAAGAGACATTTCACCAAAAAGGGAAGTACAGATAGCAAATAAGCACATGAAAAGATGTTTAACATTATTAGCATTTGGAAAATACAAATTAAAACCACAATGACGTATCATTACACACCTATCAGAATGGCTAAAATTTAAAAAAAGTAGTGAAAACACTACATTGCTGGTGGAAATGTAAATTAGTATACCTGTTCTGGAAATTATTTAGCAGTTCCTTAAAAAATTAAACATGGCCCTAGCTGGTTTGGTTCAGTGCATGGGGCCTGCAGACTGAAGGGTCCCAGGTTGTATTCCAGCCAAGGGCACATGTCTGGGTTGAGGGCTCAATCCCCAGTGGGGGGCGTGCAGGAGGCAGCCGATCAATGATTCTGTCTCATCATTGATGTTTCTATCTCTCTCTCCCTCTCCCTTTCTCTCTGACATCAATAAAAATATATTAAAACAAACAAACTAACTAACTAAACATGCAATTACATAATGACTCAGCAATCTCACCCCTGAGCATTTATCCTGAAAAAATAAAAACTTATGTTTACATGAAAGCCTATACACAAATGCTATAGTAGCTTTACGCATAAGAGCCAAAACCTAAAAACAACCCAGATAATCTTCCTGGATGAATGGTTAAATATCTGCGGTACATCATATCATGGAGTGCTCTTCAATCAAATGGAATGAATGTTTGATACATGGGACAATCTGGATAAATCTATAGAGAATAATGATGAGTGAGAATGTAAATCCTGAAAAGGCTACATACTATATGATTCCGTTTATATCATATTCTTGAAATGACAAAATTAAAAGAACTGGAGAACAAATTAGTGG